GGGCAGGAGGAGAAGGGGATGACAGAGGATGAGATGGCTGGATGGCATCACCGACTTGATGGGCATGAGTTTGAGTAAACTCCAGGAGTTGGTGATGGACAGGGAGGCCTGGTGTGCTGCGATTCATGGGGTTGCAAAGAGTCGGACACAACTGAGCAACTGAACTAATATAATAGGGAGTGGTAAAGACAGTAGCAGATTGAAAGGACATTTCATATTTGAAGAGGCAGTCACTGTTTACCACCAGCCAGTTATAAAATGAACGCAACATTTAGCCAAACTTTCAAATTTTTCAAGGGACATCAGATACATCAGATTTCTTTGTATTATTTCTCAATTTACCAATGTTGACAACAAATTAAATTTATGTTTAAAACATGTATCAAACCTAATGTATGCATAGGCCAAATTTGGCCCATGGGCCACTTATGTGCTATTTCTCTACTAAAAGGTAAAATGAATGGATACTGGAGATCGTTAAATTGGTTCCTGTGAGGAATTTAATGGAAAGGAATGGAAGAGGCGTGATGATTTTAAGAAGTTATTTTTGTTGTTGTTGGGGTTTGAGTTGGATCCCATCTGATATTTTTTGAGAGATTCCAATAAATGTTTTAATTCTTTTCAATTTTTCTTGGTTTTGGACAGGTGTTTTTTTGGTGTGTTTTAATAAGCTTCTACTAAAACTGGACATTGAGAGGAATGAACTTCACATGAGGTATGGAATTCTAGCAGATAATTTTGTCCCCCAAATGCCTGATAAAACAAGATTAGAGGATAAAGCTATTTGGGAATTTGAAAGCTTATTTTTTGACTAATTTCGCTAGTTAAGTGACACTTGTAGCATATGATTTAAACATGTGCATGTGAAAATCGAAGCTTTAGCAAAATACAAATTGCTATATGTCAGGACCTTAAGAATTACCTTTAACACTCAGTGAACTCTCAAATGCAATGATTTGACTGACCGTATTTGCACGCATTGTACTTTACCAACTATGAAGAGGATGGGAAATATCAGTTAGAAATATAATAAATCCTCAACAAAACACTTGGAAGCCAAATCCAGCAACATACAAAAAAGAATTAAACACCTCGACAAAATAGGATTTGTCCCAAGAATGCAAGATTGGTTTCACATTTGAAGTTCAATTAACATTATAATCTATGTCAATAGAATAAAAAGCAAAACTTACTTGATCATATTAATAGACACAGAGACAGAATTTGAAAGAACTCAACAAAATAGAACCTCAATAGGTTCTTCCACCTGATAAAGGACATCTGTGAAAAACCCATAACTAACATCATTTTTAATGGAAAGAATAAATATTTGCCCCCTAAGAAGACAAGCATGGTAAAGATGTCTTTTACTATTTCTAATTGACATTGTGCTTCCCTGGTGGTGCAGACAGCAAAGAATCTGCCTGCAGTGTAGGAGACCTGGGTTTCATCCCTGGGTCAGGGAGATCCCCTGGAGAAGGGAATGCCTACTCACTCCAGTATTCTTGCCTGGAGAATTCCATGGACAGAGAAGCATGGTGGGCTACAGACCATGAGATCACAAAGAGTTGGACATGACTGAGGTACTAACACATAACAATCAACATTGTACTAGAGGCTTAAGCTGAGACAGATAAGAAAAAGAAGTAAAAGACATCCAGATTGGAAGGGAAGAAGTAATACCATGCAGATGACGTGATCTTGTATGTCAAAAGTCCTAAGGAATACACTAAAAAATAATAGAAATAATAAAGTTCAGCAAGGTTGCAGGATATAAGATCATTATACAACAATTAATTGTATTGCTCTACACTAGCAATGAATAATATAAAAATGAAGTTAAAAAATAATTCCACTTATAATAGCATCAAAAAGAATAAAATATTTAGGAATAAATTTAATAAAGTAAATAACTTGTATACTGAAAGCTATAAAACATTGCTGAAAAATTAAAGACCTATGTAGCACTAGGTATTCACTCTGGCCCCTCTTGCTTCAGCTCTGCTTCCCTCTGAGACAAAGGTGCTGTTACTGGGAGGGGAGAGATCTCATGCTTAGAAGAAACAAAACCAGCTCAGACCTAATCCTCAGGGCTTCTGCACATTGGGACCTGATACTGCCCCTGATAGGGTAGTGATACCCACTGAGCATAGGAGAATCCCCAACTTACGCATCGCTCTGGCTCTAGCCTCTCCATCTCCAGCCCCAGAAAAGTGATATTTACCATTGAGAGAGCTAATTCTTAGGTAGGTTGATAAGGAGTCTGGGGCCCTTGAGGAGAAGAAAAAGGGGTCCAGGGTTCTCAAGGAAAAAGGGACAAACATTTTTTTCTACATTGCTTTGTCCTTGCTTAGTCACATCAGACATTTTTTTCTTAAACTCTGAGTTGTTATGACAACCATCTTTAAGATTAACTTTCTTTAAGCCCAGAGCTAATGATTATACAACAAAACAGCTAATTTTGCTCAAGGGTATGTTTTTCCTTAAGCTCTGTATTAATGGTTATATAACAACGGTGTTTCTTGCTTGAGGACTTGTTTTTCCTTCACAAGAACCTTCTGACTAACCTTAAGACATATGTTGTTATCTTAAGACATGTGTTGTGGGAGTGGGTCTGGTAAGACCTTTCTGTTGTTAGTTCTAATCTTGTTAATTTGAGATGTATGTTGTGGGAGTGGGTCTGGTAAAAGTCTATAAGGCCTTGATAAGACTGGCCATGGGGGCACTCTCTGTCCCCCTTCTGATGTCTCTTTCTGAAGCTTTCTCTGTCCTTTCTCACTGTTATAAAACTTCTGCCACACAAAAACTCAGTAATCAAGCCTGCTCCCTGGTTCCGAAGCTAAATTTTCTTCGGAGATCACAAATCCAACATCCTAAGCTATCACCAGCACACCTTAGGAGAAGATGTGATCAGTGCTCACTTCAGGTCCAGCTCTCCCACCAAAGCCACCAGGCATACATATACTGAACAGAGATGCTGCAGCCATGAAATTAAAAGACGCTTACTCCTTGGAAGGAAAGTTATGACCAACCTAGACAGCATATTAAAAAGCACAGGCATTACTTTGCCAACAAAGGTCCATCTAGTCAAGGCTATGGTTTTTCCAGTGGTCATGTTTGGATGTGAGAGTTGGACTATAAAGAAAGCTGAGTGCCGAAGAATTGATGCTTTTTGAAGTGTTGTGTTGAAGACTCTTGAGAGTCCCTTGGACTGCAAGGAGATCCAACCAGTCCATCCTAAAGGAGATCAGTCCTGGGTGTTCATTGGAAGGACTGATGCTGAAGCTGAAACTCCCAATACTTTAGCCACCTGATGTGAAGAGCTGACCCATTTGAAAAGACCCTGATGCTGGGAGGGGTTGGGGGCAGGAGGAGAAGGGGACGACAGAGGATGAGATGGCTGGATGGCATCACCGACTCAATGGACTTAGGTTTGGGTGCACTGTGGGAGTTGGTGATGGACAGGGAGGCCTGGCATGTTTCTGTCCACGGGGTTGCAAAGAGTCAGACACAACTGAGCGACTGGACTGAACTGAACTGATGCTCCCAAACAAGGACAACCCCTTAAGACTGGGATGGATAACTGTTTTACCTAATGTTACAGAGACAGAGAAGTTAAGCAAAGTGAGAAGACTGTAGAATTTTTTCCAAACAAAAGAACGAGGAAAAAACCTTGAAACAATAACAAATGAAACAGATCGGGCTTCTTGAAGGGAGGATGGCCAAAACTTTTGTGGACATGTTTTAAAACAATCAGAGGCTCCACTCCAGATCATTAGAATTCAGAGATCAAGCACAAGGGAAATAAGATATCAAGTAGATTTGGTGAAGCTATATTTTATATTTTATATTTTATATTCTTATAAAACAGACATAAGATGACCTTGATTGATAGAAAAAAGAAATTAGACAGGCTGGGGACCTTGAGACTTAAGGAATATCAAAGTGGTGAATAGGTTTTATTTTTGCCTTATATATTACAGAACTGATGTTTAAGATTTCAGAAACATCAGTTGACACAGACAGCTCTGTGTCTTGAAGTCTCAAGAAAAGCCTCTCTCTAGACACAGCACTAGGAACGGGGAAGCCTTGCAAGATAGAAAACTTGTAGAAACCAAATATTCTACCCAAGCCAAATATCACAGAAACAAAACTGTGGCTATACCCAACAAGCAGCGGCTAAGGGGGGAGTCTCAACTTCCTAAAATAAGGGGCCCTAACGCCCTTGCCGGGGTAGTGTCAGAGAAGGCTACGTAAAGAGCCTGGACTCTAGCACTAGGAACAAGCATTCTCTACCATCCCCCACCCCAGTGCAGTGGCTCCTTTGTGGAGAGTCAGGACTTTCACCATCACCCAGCATGAATGAGATCTCCTCTACCCACAGCATCATCACAGGCCGTGTGTGGAGCAAGAACATCACATCCGGCAGGAACAAGAAACCGTCCCCTTCCATCCAGTGTCAAGACAGGCCATGTATGGAATCTGGGCTTCTCTCTCCATCTGGTAGTCATGAGGCAGCAACACTTCTCAGCTGCAGTGGTATCAGAGAAAGTAAGTTAGAAACAAATGTTTAAATAGGGTGTAGAATCTTATAGTATGAAAAATTCTAGTTTTCCTTTGAGAACCACTCATTACAACAAGGATAAGTAAGTCTCAAGCTCACTGGAAAACAACAACCAATATACTCCAAAAGTGAGATGTCAGGGTTGATAGAATAATCTGACAAAGATTTTAAAGCAGCATTGAAAAACATGTTTCAGCAAGCACACACACTGGAAACAAATAGCCTTAAGAAAGAAACTGAGTCTCTCAACAATGAAATATACAAAGAAAAACATAAATAAAAACATAATGGGTGGGCTCAAAAGCAGAATGTAGGGAATAGAGGAAAGAATAAGTGAATCTGAAGATAGAGTAATAGAAGATACCCAATCTGAACAACAGAGAGAAAATAGCCTGGGAAAGATAAGACAACCCAGAATATTAGGAGCTTGTGATACCATCACAAAACACCTAACATTCATGTCACTAGACTTTTGGAGATGAGGAGAAAAAGAGTAAGGTTGAAAAAGTATTAAATAAATAATGGCTGAAAAGTACCCAAATTTAGCAAGATACTTAAATAACCAATGGATTTAAGATTCTGAGTGAATCTCAAACAGGATAAACCTAAAGAAATCTATACCAATATCCATCATAGTTAAACTAAATACAAAAAGATCTTGAAAGCATCCAGAGAAAACTGACAGCAAATTTCTTATCAGAAATTGTGGAGGCCAGGAGGAAGTAAAAATGTATTTCAAGTGCTGACAAAAAAGGAACTGTCAACCCAGAATCCTATACCTTAGTGAAAATACCCTTAGAAATGAAGGGAAAATGAAGACATTTTCAGATGAAAGAAAACTAAGAATATTTTTAACAAGCAGGCTTATCCTAAAAGAATAACTGAAGAAAATTCTCTAAACTGGAAGGGAACAACAAAAGATGGAACTTTGTAACATCAGGAAAAAAGAAAGAACACAGCAAAAATATGAGTAAATACAACAGGCCTTCATTTTCCTCTTAAGTTTTCTAAATTATGTTTGATAATTGAGACAAAAAAATTATAACACTGTTCGATGCTGTAATTTTTCTTTTACATATATGTATAAATGTATAGAGGAAATACTTAAGACAGTTTTATCATAAATGGGCAAGGGCAAAGGAAGGTATGGT